GGTGGAAGGGGTCCCTGCTCATGGCAGGGGGGTTGGAACCAGATGATCTCTAAGGTCCCTTCCAACCCAAACCATTCTATGATTCCACGAAATACAGCACGCGCAAGATCTGGGCTTGGGAAAGGCTGCATCGGAAATGCTGCTGCTCCAAACAGCAGCAGCAATATTGATTTAAGCAGAGTGGTGGGCAGTTAAGTCCTCCCATTATCTCCCAGCACCTAAATTAAAGCATGGACTGGAAATCAGGCAGCAGCTTGAGTCAAGTCCACCTCCTTCCTGCAAGGCAGAATCACACAGAAGATAGGGGTTGGAAAGGACCTCTGGGGGTCATCTAGTCCAACCCCCCTGCCCAAGCAGGGTCACCCAGAGCAGGCTGCACAGGACCTTGTCCAGGCGGGTCTTGAATACCTCCAGAGAAGGAGACTCCACAACCTCCCTGGGCAGCCTGTTCCAGCACTCTGTCACTCTCAGAGTGAAGAAGTTCTTGTGTCCTCCCCAATCAGAACTTCCCGTAATCTGTTCTTTAAAAAAACCCAATAATGCTCAGAGTCAACCCAGCCAACTTACTCCAGCACTTCATAATCCTCATCCTTCAAAACCTCTCCCTGAGACCTTTCTGCTACAGTTTAAGCCCCTAGGTGTTTGGCTGCTCCACCTGGCCACGGAGAAGACATCCTCCTGCTGCCTGGCAGCTCTTCATGAACTTGGGGACCTGCAGACCCTCCACCTCCTCCTCTTCAGATTCCACAGACCCATGTCCTCCACTTTTCTGGCCCTTCCAGTCATCGCTTCTCCCCTGGACCCTTCCCAGCTGTCAAACTCTGTCCTGAAACCTGTCCCCAAAACTGGACCTGCTCCATCTAGCATCTTCTCTGCTCCCATCTTGGGGCTTTCACCCCTTTTCTTGCACTCCACCAAGCTGTTCGCTGCCTTCGGTGACAGCTTCAACTCCTGTGGATGGTGCTTACGGCACAACCAACCTCGAGTTGATTCAGACACTTCAGAAAATCCCATTGCCGTTAGCAAAGCTCTTGAAAAAATCTGACAACGCTGACATCAGGATTTGCTTGGTCTCCAAACCCCTGAGCTCGCTTTATGGCCGTTTTGTTCACGCCTCCAAAGGCTCATCCTTGCCTGTCCTCCTCCAGACGCAGCACCAAAGCCAAGGATTTAACAGCTCGCAGGTAGGATCGCAGACTTTGAAACAAGCCATGCGGACGGGCGCTCACGAGCATGCACGTCCTTATCTGCAGAGCCAGCAGCGAGGAGGACGTTGCAGGCTACTCACCCGTCGAAAATCTGTCCTGAGCAAAGCTGAGTTGCAAAAACACCACCAAACCGCTGCTGAGCATCCCTTTAATGCTCTCAGAAGGCAGATTACCTGAAAGGGATGCTCCATCGGCTCTGCGACCCCTCGGCCACCGCAGCATCCTCATCTCTGCCACCATCTGCAGGCATCTACATTTCCCTTCCCCAGGTGGCCGGGGCAGCTAATCCATGGTTTAAGCTAAATCTCAGCCCTCCTCCCTGCCAGCGACGATGTGCAGTAAGGATTTATCATCACCAGCTTCTCTCCTGTCTCTTCACAGAATCAGAGAATGTTCGGGGTTGGAAGGGACCTTTGTGGGTCATCTAGTCCAACCACCCTGCCCATGCAGGGTCACCCAGAGTAGGCTGCACAGGACCTTGTCCAGGCAGGCCTTGAATATCTCCAGAGAAGGACACTCCACAACCTCCCTGGACAGCCTGGGCCAGGGCTCCGTCACCCTCAGAG